TTGACAGTCTCGCGAATACACAGATGGTTGCAAATGTAGTGGAGAGTAATAATACAAGGGCAAGATCAAGTTGACGACCGTTACCCCAGGCATAGGAAGAAAGATTGGGCCGGTATAGGGTGCGGGTCTGGAGAGGCTCATACATTTATTAACGGAGCGGTAATTACGGAGTATTGTGATTTAATCCGATTTAATAACAATTTCGTTGATTCAAAGTCGGCATCTGTGGTTGGATAAACTGCCGGCACCCACCAGGTACGGGGCAAGCCGGGGGCAAGTTGCCACGCCTAGTTATCGTGGACACTACACATGGCGGCATGGGTTAAAGGCTTGATACGTCTCAGTCTTGTCTACTCTGTACTAAGTACCTACCTAGTTAACTAACTAAATTCCGGGGCCACAAGCGTCTCAACCAACAAATCAACGCTGGTGGAGCTTTGGTAGCGCCGCCACAACAAGTTCGACGTCTGGGTATTCCCCTCCCCTCGTCCTGCTGGTTCCGACTAGGGTCCAAGGCCGATCATCCCATTTTGCTTTCCTGAGCCTGGCCAACGTCGTTTCTACTGCCAAGAGACTGCCGACGACAACGTGACCCTCAACTCTTCGAGCGATGCCCCCAACGTCTTGAATTGCTTGGCTGGCCAGCAGCGGCTAGCCGACAGCTTGGCCAGCCACTCACCAGTTCCGAAACTCCAAGCTACTGGTAACTAACTACTCTGTACATACTTAGCATTCACGCTATTCTTTCCAATTTGAATTCCGGGGGTGGGCGTCGTAAAAGTGGATGAACTCACTTCTCAAAGACACAATCCCGCCCCAAACGACGGTAACTAGTCGAAATCGCAATGGTGATGTAATAACCAAGTTACCGTGTTGATCCCCTCTCTTTCTGCCATCGTCTCGTCGTCTTGGCGCCCCCGTGCCAAACCCATTGAGATGGATACTGCTTCGCTAGCTGCCGAATCGCCCACTCTTGACCGCCAACAGATCCCGTCTTTGGAAAGGCGGCATCAACCAGCCTCAAGATGCACGCGCCGCAGAACGTCATCACTCCCCCCAACTCGATTCAGCCCACCATCACCAAGTCATGATACGGCGCGGCTTTGACCTCTTCCGAAGCCCCTCTGTCCGAGCCAGCGATTCCCCAGATTCTGCGTCGAGCTCGAGAATAATAAACCTAGCCGCACATCCCCAAGGCCCAGTCATACCACACTCACTTTCTCCCTGGTTGGCGTTCTGCTAGCAAACGTGTCAATGCTACCCCACATTGGTCACGGCAGCTCTTTGCTTTGCCTGTGTAGACCTCCTCCTCTGTGCCTCGGCGATCTGATCGGCGGGGCGCTGTCTTGGAAGGTAGTTTTGAGCCAGACAGTAACCGAGTAAGTCGAGGAACATGGGATATTGTCGCTACTCGGAATTCGATAGGCTTGGGTTCGTCCGCCCCCAGTCTCACAGACAAGTTGATACTTCTCACTGACTATTACACACTTTATTGCTATGGCAAAGGGCCTGACTATCATGATGCCTGAATTGGGCCAAGAAATTGAACCATGGCAAATATAGTAAGCTCGACTTTGGCATTCTAAGTCAAGTCCAAATGTACGTGTACCAAGGGGTATCGTTATAATTTTCACAAATGTCAAGCGGCGCGGTCACTCACGCCCGCTTCTCCACGGCGCGCGTCAACTGTTTGTGTCGCCGATGCGCGGAGGTAATCCAAGCCTCGACGACGAAGCTGTCCATCTCAGCGGGCCGGGCGGGTTACTCTGTGTCGCCAATTTCGTCCTTCGGCGTTGCGTGCACGGCTGAGATAGATATTGAAGATGGGCGTCTGAGACCAACGCTCATGGATGCTGCGTGTTGAACGCAGAGCATGGTGTTTGTCCTGTTCATGATGCTGTGGCTGTCATCAGGCTTTCACTGCATATAAACCTCAATCCTCGCTCTTCTTCATCTACGCCAACAGATTCTAACTCACTTCTATTTATGGCTGAAAAGCTCTGGTAGTTAATATTATGACACCTCGACTTTCCGAACGCAACTTCCTAGATTCGTCAGCATGGGTATAAGCTATTGACTTCCCGTCCCTTACGATGCGGTGCTCTACGCTGCGACTCTCTATCAGAAATGTTCTTTTAGCGCATGGTTTGTTGTATTGTCAATGTCAATGGAAGATTCATCAGAGGAATACATCATTGCTTTCCTCCGCTGATAAAGCTGCCATGGTGCCTAAGCCCAGTCACTCGCATCTTATGGTTGTGCGTATATTTCATTTCATGAAGGATAGCACCGACGAATTTAGATACTAGAGAATCTTCTCACAAGATTTAGATTCCCAACGGAACCGCAGGGGTATCTTCCGACCGACCGGTAGCTTCCCCCAACCAAATCGCACTACATCTAGCAAGCTCAGTTCAAGTAAGCAGTCAGCAAGCTTCCTTGACAACCTGCCGCCGGCATCCAAGTTCACTCAGCTCTACACGCCACTGGCTCGCGTTGCGATATTCTCATGCACGGTCTGGGGGTTTTTACGGAAAGTCTAATCAAGCATCCTAGCTAAAGTCCTCCTCGTCATTGGCTGGTGCTGTTGCATCGTCTTGTGCTAACTCATTCTGGTCATCTTCCATCGACCCGAAATACGCCACCACATTTTCGTCTTCCACAAGTCTGGATTTCTGAAACAAGGGAACGAGGTTCCCCAGAAGTTAGTTTTCCACGTTTTCCACGGTGGGGATGATCAACCGGTGAAATAAAACAAAAACAACGACAACAAGAAGTTGCTGTGCATGCAGGCTCGCGTGCTGGGTTATAGGGGACGAGTTTCTCGTTTGTAGTTGGAATCTCTAGTGATAGCGGAATCGGAAACAGCGCGGGTACGTACCTCTTCTTCTAGTTCCGCTACCGCGGCTTCGAGTACAGAGCGTTCAATGTCCTTGAGGGCGGAGACCAGGTCTACGTGATGCTGCTCGATAATGCCTGCCGCAATCAAGGGTTCCAGCTGTCCGCCACCCGGCGCGGCGGCCAGCTTCTCCAGCTGACTCGCCGCCCGTTCCTGGACCACGGTCACGGCGCGGAGCCGGAACAGTGCCCGCAGCTGGTGCTGTTGGAGTAGGCTCTCAAAGTCGTGCGCTCGCTCCGTCACATCGTCGCCCTGCCAAAGTACCCTGAGCGTCCTGCCGCCCGTGTCGTCCTGCAGGATGCCAAAGTCGAGGCCGTCCTCCTCGTTGAGGCACATGAGATGCACAAAGCCGCTCTCCCACAGGTTGCCGCCGACGATCTGGCGGAGCGTGACGGCGGGGGCGCCGCCAAAGGCACGCCGCTTGGCCAGGCCGAGGGGATCGTCCGGAAAGGGGTCGAGGCGCAGGGTCAACTGCCGCGCCGTGGTGCTGCTGTCTGCGTCGAGGAAGCCGTAGCTGAAAAGCATCTCGGCCGCCGACTTGCCGTCCCCGTACGAGATGCTGATCTCGTCCCCCGCAGGGACGCGGGCGCCCGGTCTGATCCGAAGCGACACGTCACCGCTTGCCTCTTCCTCGTAGTAAGCCGTCGCGGTGCCGGCGCCGGCGTGGTTCACCATGTCCAGCGCTGGGACCATGGCGTGGCTGGCGTGCGGCAGCTCCAGGCATCGTGATCGGTACCAAGCGTCAGCGAGGAACCAGTCGGATAGTGTGGCCCCGTCTGCTTCCCAGAGTAGTTGGTTCCAAAACGGTATGGTTGTGGATGTATCCCGTAGCTTGTCAAACTCACTTTGGAGCGTGGCGACTTTGGCTTCCAGAGCGTCCTACAGCGGGTCGAGTCAGAAGTCATACGATGCACTTGGGTGTATTCTTTTGTCGTAGGACAGCGGCATACCTCTAATGATGTCCCTCTCAGAAGTAGCCGGTGAGGCTCTGACCAGAGAGTAGGAACCGGAATGGCTTTTGGTAAGAATTTGATGTACTCGCTCCACGGAGTTGGCACGCAGCGCCGATTCTTGTCCCCCGGGTGCTTTCCCGAGACTATGTGCACCAATAGGTAAATCATGATATCTAGTCGTGTCGACTATGTACACTGTTAGTCTGGATTTGGTCAGTGTGGTCTAACCAACCATATACCTTTCGACCAGCGGCCTCTATGAGCTGTTTGAAGTGATGGTCCACCTTGGCATACTCTTCGACAGCTTCCCCCGATAACACGAGCTCGGCAGGAACTCTCATTATCTCGAGGGCATCATTCGCCTCTTCCGAGGCGTTCAGTCTAGTCCCTGCGACGAGCCCGTAACCTTTCCCGTCAATGTGGCGCATGCCTACCTGTTGGAGCTTCACATCCTGTAGCGTGGCCCAGGCAGGCAGCGACTCAATGGACAATTGAGGAGCGTTAGCCATGCTGAACAATCTCAGCAGCGCGGGTCCGAGGCGGACTTGTTATATCCAAGTTGATGTCCTAACTTATAAATCTTTTTCAATTCGGCGGGATTATATGTCTCGATTTGAGATGCCAGTACTGCTTTGACAGTGTCAGCGAACGCAGCAAGATGCTGGTGCTGGAGGAACTTGTACACCCTGCCCCACCAAAGCTCAGTACGTCATGCCGAAAAAGTACAGCGGCATGGTGCCATGGATTTTTTATTTTGCACTTGGAGAAATCGTCCTGTTGTAAGACGTCGTCGCGCCACACGACTTCCTGGAATCAGCAGTATATTTTACATGTGAATCCAGACGACGATATACCACTTACCGTGCGCAATCCCCGGCTTCAGCCCGCCCACCGTTCGTTCCTCTCATTTGCGCATAAAGATACCCCGCCATGCCTCGAGATCCCCTCATTGGGCTCGTGGGAAAGCCCTCCGCGGGTAAAAGCAGCACGCTCAACAGCTTGACTGACGCGAGTTCCAAAGTTGGTATGTTCTTGACTACCCCGACACTTCTACGAGGTACCTTGTGCTAACGATGCATCGCTAACCAGGCAACTTTCCGTGAGCGCCATCCCACCTCCTGCGACGCACTCCCCCCCCCCCCCCTCGCTCCCAGCTTTTGTTCCCCTCGAACCCTAACCAACCACCGCGCTCCTCTCTAGCTTCACAACCATTGACCCGCAACGGGCGATCGGCTACCTGCAAATCGACTGCGCCTGCGCGCGCTTCAACGTCTCGGACCGGTGCAAGCCCAACTACGGCGCCTGCGTCGACGGCCGGCGCTCGGTGCCGATTGAGCTGCTCGACGTGGCCGGGCTGGTGCCCGGCGCGCACGAGGGCAAGGGGCTGGGCAACAAGTTCCTCGACGACCTGCGGCACGCCGACGCGCTGATCCACGTCGTCGACGCGTCCGGCACCGTCGACGCCGAGGGCAAGGAGACGCGCGGCTACGACCCCTCGGTCGACATTGCCTGGCTGCGCAGCGAGGTCGTCGCCTGGATCCTCGGCAACCTGATGCAGAAATGGGGCTCCCTGCGGCGGCGCCACGTCGCCGTCAAGGCCACGGCCACCGAGACGCTGCAGCTGCAGTTTTCGGGCTACGGGTCGACCACGGTTGTCGTGAACCGCGCGCTCGACCGCCTCGGCCTCAAGGAGCCCCTGGAGGCCTGGTCGGACGAGACGGTGGAAAAGGTGGTCAATGCCTTCATCGACGAAAAGTTTCCGACCGTCATTGCCCTCAATAAGATTGACCACCCGGACGCGGACAAGAATATTGCCAAGATTGCCAAGATGCAGGACCCTGGCAGCATCGTCCTGTGCTCGGCCATTTCTGAAATCTTTCTCCGCAAAATGGCCAAGCAAAACTACATCAAATACGTCGAGGGCAGCGAGTTTGTCGACACGCGCGAGGACCTCATCGAACAGGGCGACCCCAATGGCGGCGGCCTCAGGGAGCTCGACGAGAAGAGCCGCAACCGGATAGAGAATCTAAAAGACATGGTGCTGTATCGCTTCGGCTCCACCGGCGTCGTCCAGGTGCTCTCCAAGGCGGCCGAGTTGTTAGGCCTGGTGCCCGTGTTCCCCGTGCGCAACGTGTCGACGTTTGTGACGGGCGCCAACGATACAAAATATGTATTCAAAGACTGCGTGCTGGTCAAAAGGGGCTCGACGGTGGGCGATGTGGCGCGCAAAATCATGGGCGATGCGCCGGTGGCGTTTGTGGAAGGCGTGGGGAACCTGAGGGTGTCAGAGGATGATTTGGTTTCTGTAGGCAAGAATGATGTAAGTGTCAACTCGGGCTATATTCGCTTCCACATGTCAAGACTAACAGACAGACAGGTGCTTTCATTCAAGGTTGGGAGGGCGTAAAGACCATGTAGATCAATTGCTGTATATGGGAGTTATTTTGGCATGGGTTAGTATCAATTGCATAGAAGCGTGATAACATGGCCTAGAGCCTGAAAAGTTCAGGTTATTGCATATATATTCAATGCGCTGTTCTATGGCGTGACCGGAACAGGCCATTCCCTTGGCCGGTCGCCAAAGACGACCTTGACACCAAGTTTCGCCGCCGCCGTTCCAAGTTTGTCCATTAACGCGCCTCGTATTTGGCTCTGGTATATGAGCTTTATCGTCTTTGTTTCTTTTATAATGGCAGAAATAACGGAGCACATCTCCGCCTCGTCGTAATGGTCGGACCGGATCTCGAGCGTCTCCAGTCTCGGAAACGTGGCGAGAAACGTCGGCAGGGGCATGTCGTCTGCCGTCCTGGGAAACGGGCAAAACCGAAAATGCGACAGCGCCATGCAGCAGAGGCCCGGCGCTCCCGCCAGCCACTGGTACTTGGCGAGGTGCGCGGTGCTGGCCGCGCCGGCCGCCGTGGCCAGGGACTCGGGCGGGAACACGATGTCCAAGGTGTCGAGTCGGCCGGCGGCCGCCTGGCCCTGGGCGACTTGCTGCAGGCTCTCCGGGTCTAGCACGGCGTTTGCCAGCCGGATGGTCCGTAGGCTCTTGTACTCATTTTGCCAATTGTTCTCGGGGTCCAGCACGGTGCCGGTCATGTTCCAGACCTTTTGGACGGCGGGGCCAGGGTCGAGCGTCAGAGGCTCGATGGCGACGGCGTCAGGGTTGGGGCTCCAGGGCAGATCGAGGTCAATATACTCCAGCTTGTTGCCGTGGTTGAGCGAAGACAGGAGACGTATGGTGAGGGTGATGGCAAAGCGCGCGGCCGTGGAAGTGTTGCCCCCTGCGACAACCAGAGCTTTGAAGTTGGGCCAGATCTTGCTCCACTGGTCTTCCCAGTCGCTAGAGCGGTCGGGCAGTGTGTCTTGCAGCCACAGCTGCTCCAGCGCAGGCGTCTTGGAACCGACATGAAGCTGGGAAGCAAAGGTTAGCGCGCGCAAGAGAGAATCAGCGACTCACTGGGCTTTCACTTACAATTGGGAAGAGAACCGTGGATCCGGGGCGCATCTGCAAGCGCAAATGCTTCACCTTGGGCATAAACGGCACGTCTTGCTCTCGGAACCAGCTCATCGGCAAGCCAGACAGATGGAGTGTTTCTATCGTTTCTGCTACGGGGTTCAGTAGCTCAAACGGATAGGCCGACATTGGTATATAATCCAGGCCGACGATATTCTTCTTTGGTTCCGTGGCAAACATACGCAGCGAGAGCGTTTTGAGGGTTTTGCACAGGCCCGCGGTGGGCGGCAGTTTGAGGGTGTGGTCGGGGAAGCTCAGGTCGAGATGTTCCAGCCGGGGGGCGCCCTGGACCAGCGCGAAAAGTTTGGCCTGGGAGAGCTGGAAGCGGTGACTCTTTTCCTCAATGACGATCCGCCGCACGTCGCGTCCGGCACTGGCGACGAGCTTCCTGAGAAAGTCGAGGCGGGGTGGTCGTCGCGGGGTCGAGGAGCCGGTAAAGTCGAGGTCTCGCCACAGACTGACAAAGTCGCGCGATGTGAGTGTCCGCTGCCACTGCTTGGACACTCGCAAGCACCGTCTGAATTGTACTTGTTAGTGCGAAGCTATGTCATTTCGTGAGTATAAACCTTACACTCTTTGGACCAGATTGCAGTATGAGAGGATCCAGATCAACAATTCTGACGGTAGGCGGACAGGATCCTTGCGACAGAATCTGATGTGAAGCTTATTTCGGGCACTATATAATTGCTGTATAAATCGTATGAATAAGAAGAAGCTCCAGAGTAGTGCGTCAAGAGTAGACTAACTTGGATTTTCGGACTGCTGGCCATGCGGTTCGCATTACCAGCATCGACCCCAGCGCTGTACACCTTCCATGCAAATTCATCCTTTTTCTGCAGACGAGCAATTTTGCCCAAGCGTAGATAGCCCTGTATACGGGTCAGCTTTTATGTATCTTTCATCCGGTATCATGAAGGTGATGCGCATACATCGGGGAAGCGAGGCGCAAGCTCCAGTATCCATTCCGCATCTCGTCTGGCCCGGTCCAGCTCCTTGAGCGACTCAAACGTGGCCGCCCTATAGTCCAACGCCTTGATGTGGACAGGATTGTCGCACTTGTTAAACGTCTTGCCGACAGCACAGGAGCAGGTGTACATGGCCTCGTGGAAGATGGAGCCACCCTTGTCCGCCACCGCCTCAAAGTTCTTGCACGCGCAGCGATCCCTCTTGACACCGCGGTTGCATTTGCACAAGCGCATAGCCTGGGACGACAGGTTAGTTTGGGTGCATGTCGCAGGGAAACAGCGGCAGAGACGTACCCTGGTAAAATGTTCCAGCGCGGCCTTGTAACGCTTGGCGCGGTACTCTTCTTGGCCAGTCCTCACGGCGGCCTCTGCTAGAGCGGCAGGCATGCTGACCGTCGGGGATGGCCTGCAGATAAGGGCTCAGATGCAGGTTTTCATGGAGAGCCTTGGTAAGAGGAAGAAGTTGTGCGGCGTGGGCAGTTGCACTGGTTATGCCAACGCGTTGCGGCACGTGTATGGTGTATGTAGGTAATTACTCGTGCGGCCCACTTGAGAGAATGTTGTCACGACGCCTCCTCCTTTCGCCCAAAGTACACAAGGTAGGTAGTTACATACATAGGTAGGTAGTTGGGCAGTCATTACTACGAATTACCTATTAAAAAAACACGCATGTTATACTCTACTAATCCTGTCTGTCTTCTCAAAAGGGGCGGCGGGGCTTTTCTACGTGTGCGATTTTTCTTTCTTTTTCTTTCCCCGACTCAAAACGCCATCGGCCTTTGCACGCCTCTGTTTTGCACTGCAAAATCGTGATTGGCTCATATAGACGTTGATGTTCGATCATCCAAGACAAATAACGGCCCGCCATCTCAAGACACGCACATCTGGGACACATGAGGGTATCTCCGTCAGCGCCCAACGTTAACTACTTGCTCAGCTGCACTTGGGCAGCAATAAATCCAGACACACCATTGCTTATCCAGCATTCCTCGCCGTCAACTAAAGCCTCGGCCTTGACAGGCTCTTCTACCGCGAGTTTGCTATCATCTGTTAGCCGGTTGCAGTGGCCGTCATCGAGATGCACCTACTTTTCGAGGGCATATCGTCTTGATGTCCCGTTGTTGCCCCCGCTGCCCAGGCTGGAGCTGAACTCGGCTGAGACTGGAGGCGTCACCCATCGATTGTTTCGCCAAAAGTACGGGGTGGTGATGCTACCCTCCATGACTTCACCGTTTTCGGCATTGACCATGAGCACTTCCTTGCGCTCACCCATTTTGATGCCGGCACGATCTCGTGCTTCGTTATACACGTCTCGCTTGGATGTTTTATGATGCGTAAACTCGGAACGCGAGATGGAAGCATCGTCTCGAAGCAAGGCGTACACCACGAGGCGCCGTGCCTCCATGCTGCCTGGCGTGGCGCCCGGTGCGGGTAGACGCGAGGGAAACAGATTTTGCAGGGCAGCATCCGGCGTGTCGAACTTTTGAAACTCAATTGTGCCATGGGCGTGCACGATGATTCTGAGTCGGACTGGTGTCATCTGAGACGTTCCGAGGAACTCGTTGGCAGAGTCAGCGAGCCTAGTGAGAGCCTCTTCGCCGGTGAGGGCATCGATGGCGGATTGCCATTCCCAGTGCGTGGCGGCCTGAAGGAGGCGATCGCGGTGATAGTCTAGACAGTAAAAGGGAGATACGTGATTGTAATTCCATGCAGCATGTTGAAAGCCCCTGCTGGGTACCTGCTGTAGACTGGGATCGTAGCGCAGCGAGGTGAAGATGTAAAAGCCGTCGGTCCCAAACATGATGAATGCTAGAGTCAAGATTGACAAACGAAAAGAGGGAATCGAGAGCTGGCTAGGTATTCTTTTACGAATACCCGGATGCCACAAGCTGATGATGTATGACGGTACGCATTTCTTAGTGGGACGGTGTCGTAACTTATTTGTAGCTAGGTATTATCCACCAGGGCTACGTTGTGACTCGGGAATAATTCCACGAGTGGTTATGACGACGGTTGCATGAATGAGACGGAAACAAACAAAGGGATGTGTTGGGCAAAAGCGAGCGTCAAAGTCAACTTACTTGGATGTATGAGAATTTTGACAGAGACAAGGCTGAGCAATGTCCACTTCAGAAGGTACTGATTTCAGTGTATGTATTTAGTTGTCTAGACTTTGTACTTTAAGGACCATTGTAATGCTTTTATTCACATAAGCAACATCAGTATTAGCAACATCAGTATGCTCAATCCAAGCCAGTGGCAAGGCAACTAACTTACTACCTACGCGCGTGAGGCCTGTTTTCTGACAGGGCACTGGACACGTTTTCCACTTAATATGTAATTTTCCCCTATCACAACGCTGTCAGGCGTCTAACACGGCTTCTAAAAAAATAAATAAGATCTTTAACACGTAGTAGCAGCCTGACAGCGTTGTGACAGGGGAAAAAAACCCCTTCAAAAAAGAGACCTGTCTAGTACCCTGTCTAAAAACAGGCCTCACTCGCGTATGTAGGCAGCTCATAGTGACATCAAGCTCAATGCCTCAGGCAACGCATCTGGGCCTACATTTTACTTGTCTTTCAGCGGCCTTCCACCTACAAATTATAAAACCCCCACTCGGCTAGGCCCGCAAGAATGACTAAGGCAGTCCGGGTTGGCTGAGCATACCACAGCGCCCGCCCCCCCTGTCCCCCAGCTAGCTGCACCGCAAAAAGTACGACACTCACCACCTCTCGGCTCACATCGCTCACATCGCCTCTTTTTTTCTGCTGCGCGACCCAGAAGCTTCTGTTGTCACAGCTCTCCCTACTCGCATCGGTTGTCCCCGCTGGCTCTTCACTGCATCCCGGGATTGTTTCTGCTGCGACTTGTCTATTCTTTGGTTTCTCCCCTTTTTTACTACTTTTAACTCCTTTCTTGCTTCCGGGCTCTTGTATTCTACCCTTAACCACAACCATGTCGAACCCCCTACCATCCATGCCGGCCATCCGTCCGGTTGCGGTGCCCGTCAGCGCTCCCTCCAGCACATGGGATCGCATCACCTCGTGGGCGTCTGAGAACAAGGCCGTCGTCTATACGATTGCCGGTGTCGCCGTCGTCATCACCGGTGCTGGTGCCGTCTACTATCTCAACTCGGTAAGTGGCGTCCTCGACGCGGGAAGCTATCCGACGTCATTGACTAGCCAATTCTATCCCGGGCCATCATCTAACAGCGTCTCGTCTTTGATAGAACCCGAAGAGCGACGGAGCGCCCAAGCTCAGCAAAAAGGAACGTCGCAAGCGCAAGGAAGCCGAGCGCAAAGCCGCCGACACCAAGCCCGCTCCTTCGTCTTCCCAACCCAAGGTCCCCACAGCCCAGGTCGAGGATGAGCTACCCGAGGTCGACGAAGCTATTGTCCAGGCCCTCACCCAAGACCAGCGCGAAGAATATGCTGCTCAGCTCAAGCAGGCCGGCAACAGGGCCTACGGCGACAAGGCATACAATAAGGCCATCGACCTCTACACAAAGGCCATCCTCTGCAAGCCCGATCCCGTCTTCTACTCCAACCGTGCTGCGTGCCACAGCGCCATGAGCGAGTGGGATACTGTCATTGACGACACCACCGCTGCCATCACCATGGACCCCGACTACGTCAAGGCCATTAACCGTCGCGCCACCGCCTACGAGCACAAGAAGATGTACCCCGAAGCCCTTCTCGACTTTACCGCCTCGTGCATCATCGACAACTTCAAGAGCGATTCTACCGCTCAGGCCGTTGAGCGCCTGCTCAAGACCTTTGCCGAGGTCAAGGCCAAGGAGATGATGAGCTCTCGCACCGCCAAGCTGCCCAGCCCTATCTTTGTTGGCAACTACCTCCAGAGCTTCCGCCCCAAGCCTCGTCCTGCAGGTCTAGAAGACTCTGCTGAGCTGTCCCTGGACACCGGTCTTGGTCAGCTGCAGCACGGTCTCCAGGGTCTCGACAAGCGCACCTCGGCAGGATACGAGCAGGCTCGCCTGGCTTTCGAAAAGGCCATTGAGCTTGGTGAGCTCGGCGACAACGAGGCTCTGGCCCACAACTGCCGTGGTACCATGCGCACCCTGCTTGGCGACCACGCCGCCGCCACCGAAGACTTCAACAAGAGCATTGAACTCGACCCTACCATGACTCAGAGCTATATCAAGCACGCCAGCATCAGCCTCGAGCTTGGTGAGACCCTTGAGGCAGATCGCGAATTCGACCTGGCCCTTAAGCAGGACCCCAACGATCCTGATGTCTACTACCACCGCGCCCAGGCCAATTTCATCCGGGGTGATCTCTCCGAGGCCCAAAAGGACTACCAGAAGTCGATTGATCTAGACAAGGACTTCATCTTCTCCCACATCCAGCTTGGTGTGACGCAGTACAAGATGGGCTCCATTGCCTCTTCCATGGCCACGTTCCGCCGCTGCATTAAGAACTTCCCCAAGGTTCCCGATGTGTACAACTACTACGGCGAGCTGCTGCTCGACCAGGGCAACTATGCCGAAGCCGTCGAAAAGTTTGACACGGCCGTGGAGATGGAGAAGCAGACTAAGCCCATGTCCATGAACGTGCTGCCCTTGATCAACAAGGCGCTCGCTCTGTTCCAGTGGAAGCAGGACTTCAAGGAGGCCGAGAACCTGTGCGAAAAGGCGCTCATTATCGACCCTGAGTGTGACATTGCCGTGGCCACCATGGCCCAGCTCCTTCTGCAGCAGAACCAGGTCGCTAAGGCGCTCAAGTACTTTGAGCGTGCCGCCGAGCTCGCCCGCACCGAAGGCGAGATTGTCAATGCCCTATCCTACGCCGAGGCCACGAGAACACAGGTCAAGGTGACGGAAAAGTACCCCCAGCTGGCAGCAAAGCTTGCCGCCTCGGGAGCTGGTGGCGGTGGCGGCCTCCGCATGGGGGCGTAAGAAGAAAGGAACAATGATAACTGTCATCGGCCTTTGAATTAATACAGAAAGCAAACGGGGGAAAAAAAAGGTGTGAGCGAAAAGTGTACGATTTGGCCTGAAAGAGAGCTGTGAGGAGAGACGGTGATGTCGATTAATACGCTCATGACGGTCTGGTTTTATTTTCCCTCTTGTTTAACAATTCTGAAGAGGAAAAACGGCAAAAAGACGCCAAGGATTTTTCTTGTAATGTTTTCTCGGAGTGGCAAAGAAAGGTCATTTGTAGAAAGGGGCCGCTGCATTGTTTTTTTCTTAAGTCTCTGCAACTGGGAAAGGGCGCCTCTTTCTTGTGTACATTTTTTTCTTTTTTAAAAAACCGTCATCTTTGTGGTACTATTTCTCTATATTCCATGAATGAACAACCTCTCTCATCTACTGTTGGCGTTTGGTGTGTTTTATAATATCCTAGGGGACGTAATGTGTGTGAGTGTGTGTGTGTGTGTGTGTGTGTGTGCAACTCCAACGATTCACCTTGAATATCCTAGTCAGGTATGTATACGCGGCGTCGAACAAGGTATGCTGTATTAAAGCAATTCCATTGAATTTGGGAAAATTATATAAGATTACATAAACACATACATTTCCTCTTCTGATATCTCGTGGGTGGTGGATTACTGTCCTCCTCATTAGCGTGTAATCCGCCGGTATAAAATCGAAACTTTGGGTTTTCCGCTGGTATATTTTTTTGTGTGTGCGCCCAGTTGCAGCTTTCTTTCTCGAGTCGCGTCATCCCTGTATATACTTTATTTTTCCCTTTCCTCGTCTCTCTTCCCTGCAACCTCACGACGTGGCTTTCTTGGTCAGAGTGATGCCGAGGGCGATACCAAGGACAGCGGCAATGATGATGAGGACGACGATGAAGAAGCACCACCACTTGAGCTTGCGACGGTTACGGGCGCTCTTGTTGGCCTCGGCGACCTGCTGGTTGCCCGACTCGAGGTTGTTGACAACGTCCTGGCCCTTGTTCTCGGCGTCGACGATGACGGTCTCCTGCTGCTCGACCATGGTGGCGAGTTCCTGGTAGAGGACGGCGAGCTCGGTGAGGGTCTGCTCGATGCGCTGGAGCTCGTTGTGGCGGGCGCGGACGTTGCCGAGGACGGAGGAGGCGTGGCCGGAGCGGTTTGTGCGGAGCTGTCATGTGTTAGCCTTTGTTGTTGCCATTTCTCCTCCTGCGGTGTTGGGTGGTGCAGACGAGGCGTGGAGCTTCTTGAAGCTTGCGCACGCAGCGTACACGCGAGACCAGACCGAAGCAACAAAGAAAAAAAGATGATTGAGCCAAAAAAAAAACTTACGGCAGTCTGGAAAACACCCTCGTTGCCCCAGTCGGCTTCGGCGGCCTCCTGGACCTCCTGCTCCGAGGCGTCCGGGTTGACGATGCGGTACTGGCGGGCAATCTGGTCTCTGTACTTTTGGCGGTACTCGCGCTCGATGCTCTGGTACGAGTCAAGCTCCGACTTGAAAAAGGTGCGGAGGGACTGCAGCTGCGTCTGCTTGGTCTTGCGGGCGGCGTCGGTGGTGCGGGCGAGGTCGCGCTCGAGGCCCTTGATGCCGTCCTTGATGGCCGTGTTGCGGATCTGCGTCTGGGCGACGTACTGCTCGAGCTGGCGGTCGGCCTGGGGGTCGGCGGCGCCGAGCGCGCGCTGGTGCAGCTGGCCGATGGTCTCAATGTCGCCCGTCAGCCGCGTTATGTCGTTGCGGATCGACTGCACGCGCGCGAGAAAGTCTTGCTGCGAGAGCGGCGCTGGCTGCTGGTTGGTGGTGGTGGCGGCGCCGGCGGCAGCGCCGGGGTTCTGGTAGTCTTGGAGCTCATAGTTGTCTTGGGAGTATGGATTAGGCTGCGGAAGAGGGAACAATTAGCTCTTGGGACGTTGTTTGGGTCGAGCCGGCGCAAAATCCGGGTTGCGATGGCAGCTTATCCGGAGAGTTGGTGTTGTGGCGCGCGCCTGCGCCGAGGCGGCCAATTCTGCTCAGCTAGCCGGCGCCGACAAACAGTGCGACGACGGAAAGACGGGAAATCGTACCTGGCCATAGGCTTGGCCAGCTTCTTGCGCTGGCGCCTGCTCGTACGGGCTCGGTTTGCCGTAGGACATGTTGGGCGAGAAACGGTCTGTCGAAACAGACTAAACAACGCAATACGACAATTGCTCTTGAGAGAGATGGGCGCGCCCGATTGAAGGGGTGGTTTCGGGGAGCCGGCGTGGTAAGTAAGACAAGTCGACGGATACTTGGCGGAGGAAGAATACTATCGAGAAAAAAGAAAAGAGGGAGGGAAACGAGGCGGCGGGAGAGGCGGAGGTGGGTGTGAAGAGGGTTTTCTGTTTTCTGCAGTGATGACGGAGCTGGACCCGAGCTAGATCCGTTTAGCAGTGCAGGTTCCCGTAGTAGCGGCGGGCATCAGACGAGAAAGAAGACGCAATTGAGAAAATACAGGGTTCAACAAGTAATCGCGCTGTAGTACATTATTGATGGGCGTGCCGTTCTACAAATACACTCTGCCCGTTTGCCCGTTTTCCCTTTTACGCCACCCCGTTTCCATCCCATCCCGCACCGCTGTCAAGCGTCACTTTGTCAGCAGCCCAAGACTTGACTACCTACCATCAACCAA